GTTTGCAGAATCAGGGGCAGGAAGTGCATTAAATCTGAAGGGAAGCCGTGCTGAAAGTAACACAATGCTCAGTGGCGCGCATCGGCCAAGCGCCCGGCAGAGGTAGGCCTAAAATAGCACTTTTTGACCCGTCGCCTTGTTCAAATCGCTGCTTGCACTCAGTGCTTAGGCGTTCAGTTCTGGTGCGCAGTTTGGCAGCGCGCTTACTGATTTTGCTGCTCTCGCGCCCCACCTTAACACTTTGCGGGTACAACTGAGCGCCCCTTTTTCCCGCACTCGCCCTCTGCACGCAAAAGACAGGGACTGATCGTGCTGGCTCACTTGCACACACAGTACCTCTTCGAATAGGATTAAGATTAACCATTCAGATCACTGTGAAATTGATTAACCATTCAGGTCGGTCTGTCGGAAACGGTGAGCATAATACGGAAGCAACGGTACGGCTGTGTGGCATCTTTCCAACACTACCTACACCTGTTGGAACTCATCCAGCACTATATTGTTTCATCCGGACTTGTTGATGTTTCACAAATCGGCCGGCTAAGTTCCAGCTGAGCATCATCAGCGCAATGTTGTTTCTTGTTGTGTTTGTTATTTTTAAATGCAATACATCGGAGTTAATAAAGTTTTTCGTTTCACATATCTTTTTAAGTGCTCGTCCAACACAGCAAAACAGCCCGTATCAACCGGTTCCGCACAGTGCAGGGGTGAGCCCCAGATGCAGCAGTAATGAGCCATTTAGGCGACAAGTGAGTCACCTCCACAAACACCTGATTTCAGTTTAACAGCAGCAGCAACCGCACCCCCGTATTTTTGAGGGCAAAAAAGGCCTGTGTGCCAGCAAATCGATGAGCCGCTTGTGAATTAGAACTGCCGGAGACAGCGCAGCGTGGAGCGAGCAACGAAACACAAAACTGCCGGCCATCCAGCCAGCCTCTCCATCCTTCCTGTCGAGTTCCGCGTCCGAACAGAAGGCTACGGGCGCAGCGCGTATCCAGGATCACTGTGGCAAGGTAGTGGAAGGGAGAGACGAAATTGTGCCCGGAGGGCGCCAGTTTTCACCGGCACGCGATTAGACAGTATTGGAGGAGAGGAGAGGACGAGTAGTAAGTTCTTAAATAGGGGCACCAGAACCGACCAGAAAAAAACAGCTGAAGGATGGACAGATTTTAGTGCGTTTCTCGCTTCCGAAATGTGCACGTGGCCTGTTAAACGAGTGACCGGTGTGCTCAGTAGTCGACTGCCGGTTTTGTACGGATTTATGGAGGACACATTCACTCCGACCACCGCCCTCACGAGGCTGGAAGAATTCCCGCTACATTGCAGGAACCAGTTTCTGGGCATTAACGAAGTTTTTACCCCGTGTTGTTGAAAAGTTTTGAGCTAGTGAATGTCAGTTTACGTTTGCTGCATACCCAGATGCAGTCTGAGGTGACAGCTAGCATGATCACGCGCAGAACCGCCAGAACTTTCGTCCCTCAGTACATATTGAATCTTTCACTCCTCTCAGTACAGCAGTACTTTTGGGGTTGTTTATTTTGTAAACTCGTAAATTTCTGGTTGTGGAAATGTTGGAAAATAGGTGTGTCCGGCTTCTCCAAGCACTAAAACGGATTTCAAATTTGGACGCCACTGGACGGAAATAGCTTTCTCTGGCGCCCCTAGTCCAGATTGATAGCATTTGCTCTTCTCAACCACTTTTCCCTCAGTTTGTCCATTTTCGATGTTTTAGTTTTAAATTTTGTTCGTCTGATTATATTTTTATTTTCTTTTTCTGATGCAGAAGAATAGAAAAACACATTGAGACGAGACTGAGGTAGTATATGTGTCTATTTCAACTAAAGAAGCTATTAGGATGCTGAAATTTTGCGGAAAATCCGCATAGGAGCTCTCAAATATGAAATCAATACACTGGCCATTCTGTATTCCCAGCTTTAACCTCAGTTTTGAGTCGGATCCAACTAAAAGCCTGAAACCAGCATTTGAGTTGCCGTGTGTCCTATACTTTGCCTGAAGCCTGAATTCAGACAAATTCAGTAATTTAATAAACAAAAAAGGTGGCTGCTCAAAATTTAACAAAATGAGCTTCGTGACTGTTCGCCGCCGAGGAATCCGCAATCAACTTTTCGGTCATCCTGTTTTGGTCTCTGACCTCTGGTACACAGAATGCCTGTGTGTATCTTGTGTGCTTATATATTTATGACAGCATCTGTCGGCCACTACGGATAAGCTCAGAAGTACAAAAGATGAAGCTGATATTTGGGAATATTGCCCCCAGCCATGTAGGATATAGAGAAACTTAACTTTATATTTTCGCACGACCAAACGCAAAAAACATCAGAAATACAGCTTCACGGCTCAATATCGTGCCAGTACAGTTGTGGCTTGGTGTACGAATGCCCAGTGTTCACTTGGGATTAGACTGAATATTGCCTGAAAAAACAGCCAAAACCACCTGTGAAGAGATAAACCGAAATTCTGTGTTTTTTTTTTTTTTTTTTCGCATTCATAAGCTTATCGCGAAAACAACCGTGCCAGTTTCCTAGCGCGGGCCGCTAATTAACTGGAAACACTCGAGCACTCAAACAAGAAATCTCTGTGCGCGAAAAACAGTCAACAAAGGCTCAAATACATCCCTGATCTGTGCAAATGTATCCATAAACACGCAGTTTTGCCCATATTTCCATCCGAGAAATTTAAAATCCACCACATACTTCACTTTCTGGCAGAGGTTGAGGCACACAGAAGCAGACCAGATGTTAACCATGACAGGATGCTTCTGATGGCTGCTTGAAACTCCAGCAAACTGCTATCTGTTGCAGTTTCAAGCAGCCATCAGAAGCATTTGGATCATAGACGGATCCAAGGCGG